AAAGCATGTGATGGAGATTTACTACTAATCAACAGAACCGGCTTTTCTGATGAGATGTGCATGACAATCGCATGCGGTTTATCGTGCAGTCCTAGTGTAGAGGGAGAAGAGCAGTGGGTCCAGTAAGGGTCCAGTGCTGTCCTTCAGATAAGCCAACACCAGCCTCTCAAACGACTTCATGACCACAGATGTTAGAGCCACAGGTCTGTAGTCATTAAATCCTGTTATCTTGGGTTTCTTTGGGCCGGGGATGATGGTGGAGCATTTGAAGCAGGCAGGGACTACGCACAGTTCCAGTGATCTGTTGCAGATCTGTGAAAAGATAATAATAATAATAATAATAATAATAACAAAAAATAAATATATAAACAAACATAAAAATAACTATAATTACACATATTATATGCTTGCTACCAAATAGGTTTATTCAAAAAAGCTTAAATCCAGCATCATTTATATAATACAAAGGAATATAAATAGGGAATATATAAACAAATTGAAATAATTACATATATAATAATAATCTTAACTACCACAAATAGTTTAAAATTAAGAATAGAAATATAAACATGAAAATCACACACACACACACACACACATTTAAATTTAAAGAACTATAATAACAATATTACTAATAATACTTACATAATAATAATAATAATATAAACTTACTTCCACAAATATTTTATTTCCAAAAGCTCAAATCTGACATTTTATCATTTTTATAAGACATAAATACAAATTTAAAGAACTATAATAACAATACTACTATTAATAATAATACTTACAATAATACTTGCTGCAATATGAAAGGCCACCTCGATTTATATCACAATCTCGCTTCTCTTTCATGTTATGTGTTTTATTGTACTTACCTCCACGTTATCCGAAAACGTCAAACTGACTAAAAATATGTTCCGTGTTTAAAAAATATAAAATTCGCCTTAACCTTGATAAACTAGTCATCTGCGCGCTTCCGCTCTTTTTATGACTGAAATCATGTGGCTTTGCACGTGACTACGTTTCAGCCAATGGCTGTTTTGCCCCGTTCGACCAATGGCTGTTTTGCCCCGTTCTGACCTGTTAGGAGA